AAGTGCTCATTACTGGAAACGGAATCTGGGGAACACTAGAACCGTGGCTGGGGTGATTTAAATGAATAAATAAATGTGCTGCACTGAGAGTCACTTGAAGTCGGGATGGTAGCACAGCGTCAGGTGGAGTCACAGCGCTTAGCACACCTCACGGGCTCATTCCCTGGTTAATGAGGAGACCGTGTGGTGCAATGGTTTGCTGCGGTCTGAGAAGAAACCACGGGGCGTAGTTACCGTGTCCACCCACGTGATCCTCCGCGCCCAACCCTGTCAACCCGCCAGCCACACCCCGGGGCTGGAGGGATTTCAATGTGATTGGACACTTTGTGGGCACGTGGCTCCCCGTTCCTCTTTTCTATTGGTGACCAGGTCCCGCTTCCGGCCTACCTGCGCACCTCCCAGGCTCAGGCCCCGCCCCTCTCGGTGTCGGACCCGCGCCTACGCAGGCGCAGTGGTTGGCTGTGTGCCCTCTAGGTGGCGTCCCAGGCAGGTGAGGCCCCAGCGGGACAGAGGGGCGGGCGGAGTGTGAGAAGAGAGTCTGACCTCCCTGGGTCTCTCACCCGCTGTGCGTTCACCCTTCTCCCCCGGCCCGCCGGCTTCCCGCCAGCTTCCCGCATTGCTTTCACCCGGGGAGGCGAACGGGGGCTGGAAAGTGGGGGGCGGGAGGGAAGAATGGCGGGGAGGCGGGGCGAGTGAATTTTGGGCGGAGCCAAGGGCCTCTGAGGCGTCCCAAGTCCCCACTTCAGTGCCCACCCCCACCTTCAGGCCGTTTGTCTTTTTAAAGGTGAAGGGATTTGCAGGTGTGACCTCCAGATGCTTTTGCATTTGTTCTCTCCGTTTGGGATGCTCCCCTTTCCCCCGCCTGGTGAATGCTTATTCATTACGGACCTAGCTTGGGGACTTCTGGAAGCTTCTTGCGCCTTGTCCGTCCTCCCGTGGTGAGGGAGACCTCACTGAGAAAGACATCTGCAGAATGACCTGGAATGAGGGCGTGACCCACTGCTGGGAAGTGTTTCAAAGGACTTGGGATAAGGGTTAGGGGTCTAAGCCTACCCACAATTCATTTGTGGTTTTTAAAGGAAAGGAGCAGAAAGAAACAAAACTTTAATAAAATGATTGAAGGTAAGGTAAGCAGAGATACACAGTTAATTTATGGATAGTAGAGGTCAAATGCATTTTAAATGTTATCCGTGCTGTTTCTTTTGGTTATAAAAGTAAAGAAGACCAAAGTAATATAATTTCAGAAATATATGTCATGGAAAGTGGAAGATACCTATAATCCTACTACCTATAGATAACCAGATATATAGATATATATTCAATTTTTTAGGCTTTACTAGTTATTTTTTCCTTTAATAAAATATATTAGGCCCAGCCAGCGTGGCTCAGTGGTTGAGCCAGGAGGTCACAGTTCGATTCCTAGTCAGGGCATATGCCCGGGTTGTAGGCTCAATCCCGAGTGTGGGATGAGCAGGAGGCAACCGGTCAATGATTCTCTCTCATCATTGATGTTTCTATCTCTCTCTTTCCCGCTCCCTTCCTCTCTGAAATATATTTAAAATGAGATATATTGAAAATATTTCCACATATAGACATAATTATTTTAAATGTCTGTATAATATTCTATTATTTTTAAAATATGAGCTTTAAAGTAGAGAAATGGCTTCGTAAACTTCACTAAGTTGAAATTTAAAACACTTTGCGGCCTTAAGTGCATGCTTCAGTGTTCTCCATATGTTGCCTATGTTGTCAGGGGTCTGTAGCTATATGGGGGCAAAATAGACAAGACTTTCCCAAAGGCAGCGCTCACACCTAGGATCGCCAGAGAAACGCCGGTTGCCCAGTTAAATTTGACTCTGACATAGACAACAAACAATTTTTCAGTCTACGACCCAATCCTTGCATTCATTGTTTATGTGAAACTCTGGCATCTTCATTGCTTAACCTGTCAGCCTTACATGTGCACCAGTGCAATGACCGCTGAATTATTCCGGTTCTTTTTTCCTGCCCCTGGGTGGTGGACAGCAGGTCCACTGGGCTCAGGCCTCTCCTCTCGCTCTTTTCCAGGCAAAAACAAGCCCTGCCAGGCCTTCATCTGCGAGTGCGACCGCAATGCGGCCATCTGCTTCTCCAAGGCCCCTTACAACAAGGAGCACAAGAACCTGAACACCAAGAAGTTCTGCCGGGACTGAGCGGCGCCCCGGTACCGCCTGGTCCCTGTGGCTGTCGCCTTCCACTGCGCCCGCCCTCCAGTAAAGCACTTTGTTGAAAGGCCTCGCGTTTGGAGATTGTTTTATTCTCTGTCTGCTGAGCACGCCTGGGCCTCTGCCTGGTCCTTCGTGAGGTCATTCTTCCAGCCCTGGAAGTTAAATCCCTCGGGTATTTCCAGGAAGTGAGCACCATGACACCTGAGTAATGACGGGCACCCCTGATGGTCACTCTGGGTTGATGTAGGGGAGGGTGATGTAGGGGCGTCCCAAGTCCCACGTGTGTCTCACCTTCCCTGGGACGCCCTGGGGGTGTTGACACTGTTCGTTAAGGCTCCTTCCCTCAGCTGCCGCTCAGGAGGAGAGGCCGCTAGCCCAGGGCTCTGCAAAGTAAGTAGCAAAGATGGGGCGTGAACCCAGCGAGTCCAGGAGAACACACACACTTCACCACCCCCGACCCGCCTGGAGCGGGGAGCTCTAGTTTCAGTCCCAGCCCGGTCTCTCCTCCTCTCATTTCTCTGCCTCCATTCCCAACCATGTAAAACCATTTTTCCTGCAACTTCTTTCCTGTCTAAGCCTGACAAAGACTTTACCACCCGCTACAAGCTAATTTTTTACATTGTCGTCATCAAACATACTAAATAGCCCTGGCTGGTCTGGCTCAGTGGATAGAGCATCGGCCTGCGGACCGAAGGGTCCCGGGTTCCATTCTGGTCAAGGGCACATGCCCGGGTTGCAGGCTCGACCCCCAGTAGCGGGCGTGCGGGAGGCAGTCAGTCAATGATTCTCTCTCATCATTGATGTTACTGTCTCTCTCTCCCGCTCCTTTCCTCTCTGAAATAAAAAAATATATACTTAAAGAAAACATAATAAACAATAACACCTTCTACTTCTAGGTCATTTACTGCATATCACTCTGTGCAAAGGGCTTTCCACATCCCGTCTCATTAAATACCCAAACCGGCTCTGTGAGGGCGATGTTATTGCCCCATTTTATGGATGAGGAGCTATAAACTCAGAGAAGTCACTCCCCGGTGACCACACAACTGGCGTAGCCAGGATTTGACCAGACTTGCCTGGTGGCAGTGCCTGAGCTCTCAGCCCCTCAGCCAACTTCCTCCACTAGGATTTATGACCATATTGGCATCGAATTCACCAGGTAGAGGGGGGAGGGGAAAGAAGGGAACCGAATTCGAAAAACGAACATGGGAAAGGGCGATGAAGACTATGGGAAGCCACCGCGGAGCAATTCTAACCACCGGAGGCTGACGGAGCAGCAGCCACCGCTGGGCGTGTGGCCGGCAGCAAAGAGGTGTGTGTGTTTGTCCTTTGAAGAAAGAGTATGTGTGGGTTTGTCTTTTGGCCCATTTTCTCCCTCATTTCATTCATCCACTCAATGGGGAAAACTGCAAGCTACCCCCCCCGCCCCCCCAGGATGGAAGAAAGGTAAGGTTATTAAGAGATTTACTTAGTCCCACTTTTTTTTCTTACAATTATAAAACAAACAACGGAGAGAACAGAGTCACCTGAGCACTCAAGCTGGGCTCTAAAAATATCCTCTGACGTAGAAACCTTCATTTTTTCATTATCTCAAGGAGAGAGAGAGAGAGAGAGAGAGAGAGAAGTGCTCATTACTGGAAACGGAATCTGGGGAACACTAGAACCGTGGCTGGGGTGATTTAAATGAATAAATAAATGTGCTGCACTGAGAGTCACTTGAAGTCGGGATGGTAGCACAGCGTCAGGTGGAGTCACAGCGCTTAGCACACCTCACGGGCTCATTCCCTGGTTAATGAGGAGACCGTGTGGTGCAATGGTTTGCTGCGGTCTGAGAAGAAACCACGGGGCGTAGTTACCGTGTCCACCCACGTGATCCTCCGCGCCCAACCCTGTCAAC